ACATGGTTGACTTATCATTAGACTAAATAGAATAACACTTGTGAATTAATTTAACTTGGCTATAGCAATCCATAAGCACAAATTACCTCAACTCTTCATTGTTATCAAAATTGTTAGAGGAGTTCTTAACACATTTCCTTAATTAAAGTCACAAAATCAATGAAGCATATAATCTTGTGAAAATCAATTAGCTTTAAGTTCTAAGAGTTACCAAGTCCAAAAGATAATCAAATGCTTACATTATCATTATGGAGGAAACATTTCCATGGTCTAAATGAAATGAAAACAAACATATAAACCATGTGTTGCTTACTAATTTGAGGTCCATTACTTAACCAAGAAATTAGTCAACAAAAATAAGCATTCATTCATCTAAGCTCATGATCAAAGATAAATAAACACAACAAGATGTTTAACTAGAAAACATTTCCATAAACTTCAAACACAAGGTAATAATAGTCTTCAAAACAACCAATCATCCATGGGATTAAACCCTAATCAACCAAGTGAAAATCTAGCCAAGCATGGCCAAAGTAAAGGAAATACAAGAAAGTTTAGTGATACCAAACATTGTTCTAGTTGCAAGATGGAAATAAAATAACACCAATCTTCAATTCTTCAATTTCTTCTTAAATGTTCTTGAGAGCAAAAGAGTGGTTTTCTCCAAGAGGTGATAATGAAAAATGCTCCAAAACTCCAGCAGATAAGGCTCATTTTCGGATTCAAAAAGTTGCACAAAAGCTACCCACCAACTTTCCACAAGTAGAGTCAACAAGTCAAAACTCTGGATCAAGTCAGCACAATTCACGCGGACCGCGTATGGGTCCACGCGGACCGCGTGGGTCAGCTGATTGTGGGACTTAGGCCATTTAAAATACAACCTAGCCCAATCTTCTCATTCACACTTCAGCCCACATGTACAACTCTTGGTAGCCCAATTATGTTATTCCAAAGCCTCCAATGATGGTCCAATGCTTCTTTAATCCTCCTCAACTCGAGTCCTCGTCCAAAATAAAATCCAACGCGCATCCCGCTTGTACTGACACGGAGCCCAATCGCCACACTTCAAGTCCACGAACAAATTGCAAGCCCCTAATAGTCCCGTACTCCTTCCATACCTCCAATGACAAATAGTCTTCGATAAATCCTGCAAATAAGCTCAAAAGACTGGAAAGCACCCGGTAAAGGAGAAAAATAACAAAAAGAGAAAATATGCATGAAGATTAACTAAAATGAGATGGAATGTGCTAAAATAAACTATAAAAAGAAGTAAATAAAATGAAACTATCAAATGCCATAATGATGCTTTATCCAAGTTATTATCATTAGTAGAATCAATACACAACACATTATTTTCCTAAATTATCTACAACAGACACAGCTTCATACACACCATCACAAGGTAATTCTTTAAAAATAAAACACATTATTAAAGAAAGCATTTATTCCACCAATTTCATTATCAAAAGAAAAGGTAAACCCTTGTTTGTACAAAGCATGAAAGGAAATAACATTTCTTGCCATTTCAGGCGAATAACAACATTTATTCAAATCTAAAGTAAACCCACTACTTAGCAACAAAGTATAAACTCCAATCTTGGTGACAGGTGAAACTTTCCTATTCCCCATGATCAAGTTTATCTTTCCATGCTCCACATTCTCACTTCTTCTTAGTCCCTGCAAATCATAACAAATATGAATACCACAGCCGGTATCAAGGACCCAAGAGTTAGAATAGGGTGAGTTATTAGATAATATAGTGTAAATACTTGCATGGTTGGGTTTCACTTTCCCATCCTTCAAATCTTGCTGGTACTTTGGGCAGTTCCGCTTCCACTGCGCCTTTTCATGGCAATAGAAGCATTCAGCCTCTTTTGGGTCAGCAGAAGGAGTGACGAAACCTTTCTTGGTTCCATTTGAAGAGGAGCCATCAAGGGTCTTACCCTTGGTACCCTTTGAAGGGTTCTTCCTCTTTTTCCCTCTACCTTTCCCGATTGCCAGGACAGGTGCGGAGTTTGGAGTAGGAGTAGGAGTGGTAACAACCGAATTACCTTTAAGACCTGATTCTGCGGTCTTTAGGAGTCCTTGAAGTTTGCTGAGGGTGACTTCTTCCTTCTTCATGTGGTATGTCATGCGGAATTGATCATAACACGATGGTAAGGAGTGAAAAATGATATCTATTGCTAACTCCTCGGGGAAGTTCACATTCAGCTTCATCAAACGGTCCACATACCTTTGCATGTTCTGCATGTGGCCTGTGATGGGTTCACCATCTTTCATTCGGGTTATTATCATGGAGGAGATGATTTCATATCGCTCTTGACGAGCACTCTGATGGTAGCGGTCCATCAAATCCTGGTGCATCTCAAAAGGATAGTAGTCCTCATAGGACTTTTAGAGCTCGGTTGTCATAGTGGCCATCATGATGCATGCTACCTTGGTAGCATCTCTTTCATGTGCCTCATATTCAGCAAACTTCTCAGGAGTAGCAGTTGGCTCGGGAACCTTAAGCTCCTTGTCGAGAACATATTCTTTGTTCTCATACCGAGTGACCATCCTGATGTTCCTGATCCAATCTGTAAAGTTGGATCCATCAAAGATGACTCTCCCACAAAGGTTCATGAGACAGAAGGAGCCAGTAGGGTTTGAGCCAGAAGCAGCATTGTTGGAAGACATCTGAAAAGAAGAAAAGACAAGTTTAGTTGAGATATAAAGATAGTCCTTAATAAAACACCCAAATGTAATATTAAGGCTTGGATCCAATCACAATATATTATAACTTAGAAGAGGGATGCCGTAATCTAAGCTAAAACATATTTGAAAGGTAGGTGAATGACGATTCACCAATTTCCACCATGAAAACGCAATATATAAATTATTAGGTTTTATTTGGTTTTTTAGAAACTCCTAGATTCTTTTGAGATTCATTGAACTTTTCAATGGCATGTTGCAATCTCGAGTGCGCCCTTCATGTTTTGTGACTGGGATACCGAGGATCACAAAACAAGGTGTGAAGTAACCATGCAAATTACTTGGTACCCTTAATGTTTTTTCACTTAATCGATGTGCCGGTTAACCACACGCGCTCCACCGACCTATGAAAAACCTTAAGTCACCCTTTTCCTACCTTGTTAAGTCCAAGTTAGTGTACCGGTTAACCACACACGCTCCACCAACGACTTAATCAAAGTGCAAAGTGTAATTTCATGGGTTAGCACCTTATTCACATTTTCCTAAAGTAACTAAGATTGGGAATTTATAAAACATTTAGTTACTTTATATAAATCATTATACTTTTAATGAGAATTTTAAGTCATTGTTCTACCCGTTCGGCTAACGACCCTCCACCAGTCAGGGAAGCGGTGGGTGAGAGTGGACACCCATTAAGCTGCCATTTTATAGGCAACAACCTTATACCCCCCTTGTGGACCGGCTTCGTGAATGAGACCTACTAACGGTAAAACGACTTGATCTTATACATATATATATATATATATATATATATATATATATATATATATATATATTATTAAACTTATAATATTATAAAGTATAAGGGTTGAATTTTAACTTTTAAAATTCTAGGGGTTGGAACTAAAGTTTATTAAGATGACTTTACATGTTCCAAAACTTGAGGGCAAGTTTTGTTACTTTACAAAACCTTTCAATTCATAACTTATGAATCATTAAAATGAAGACTCTTCATTTTTTGTAACTTATGTGTTCTTTTAATGGATTTAATACAAAGTGACTTTTGGTTATCCATAACTTGAGGACAAGTTATGGACTCCGTTAAAACACATAAGGATCATGAATTAAGCATTAAACAAGTAATTCCTATGATCTATCAAGAACTCATAAGAACATGAACAATCATATCAAAATTTCAAGAACATATGAACACATATAATCATGTAATTTATATATTAGCCATTGTAAATGGATTAGAACAAACATTACACCATCTAAAACAAGTTTTAAAACACCAAAACAGTTTAGGGTAATGCTTCTAGTCCATTTCCAGCAGCAAAACTCGAAAAACTGCACTCAGGGGCTTCTACTCGTCGAGTGCAAGAACCTACTCGACGAGTAAGATGAGTTTACTCATGGAATCGTCGAGTCCCCCCATGGAATCGGCGAGTTCATGCTTCAAAATGCATAAAAACAAGTTTTTTCACAATTTTGCATCAAGTATCAAACAAACAAACCTGGCTCTGATACCACTGAAGGGTTTTGAGCATTCTAACACTCCTAAGTGTACATGCAACCCTAGAAAAACCTTGGATCTATGTTTGTCTAAAATACATGCAAAATACTTTTTCCAAGGTTCATTATCCTATCTAGCATACATGGGGAACTTTAATCATAATAGATGGCTAGAATTACATACCTTGTTGTTGTTTTGATTCCTGGAAAACCTTGAGAGCCTAGCACCCCAAGTGTGATGCCTCAAATGTTTCACACAACGCCAAATGCTCTTGGAATAAACTTTGAGAGAATTATCTAACACTTGAAATCGGCCTTGCCCTCTTGTCTCACTAGTGTAGCCGATTTTGGTTGCTAGAAGCATGCTTATATAGTGTGCTGCATTAGGGTTACACCATGTAAACCCCAATGTAACATGGCTCTTAATTTCCATGACCCATGTGTTTATAACTCCCATGGAGCATCCATGGAGCATCTTATAGACCTTAGCCCAACTAGATAATCCATGGAGCATCTAGCCCACTATACAAGCATGGATGATTTACACAATCAACCCATATATTTAATTAGTCTCCTTTTTGATCACTTAAATAATTCTAGATTAATTCTTGATCAAAACTAATTAAATAATATTATTAATATATTAAAACTTATAATATTTTAATAAACCACAAGTGTTATTTCTCTCATTTAGTCTATCCAATTGCATGATGCCTGCAACCCAAATGATGCCGGGTCGGGTCACGTACATACCAGAAATAGTTATGGACTTAGACACCTTATCCAACAGGAAGATGCAACCTGTTTCCTTTGAGTTTTATTTCAATAAAAACAGATATCATCAACATAGACTGGTGGAGCTATGTTTTGGATTGTCTTGTCAGAACAAAGAACTCATATATACCATACTCAGATAATAGCTACTTTGTTGGACCTTCAGCTTTCTCGGTGGTAAGTTATTATAATGTTTATACTCAATTTTTAATAATATTAATTATTCATAACTGAATAGCATAAATTCATATATGAATAAGAAAAATATACTTGTTCACATGTAATGCTTTACATTACTTATTCATTTATGAATAAGTAAAAAATAATATTACTTGTTCATATATGAATATATATATATATATATATATATATATATATATATATATATATATATGAATAAGTAATGGTTTGATTTACTTATTCATATATGAATATCAATTAGTTATCATTTATGTGCAGTTGTTCTATGCTGATAACATCCACTCAGAAGCTTTAACGGTAACACGTAAACGTCCAAGAATTTGTTATTGGAGTTCAGAGAAGATTAGATATCGAGAGACATTTGAACAAGAAGAAGGTAGATTTGGACTTGGAGAATTAAATGAAGAATTTGTTAATGAACAAGATGAAGGAGATACATATCTCGAAGACAGTGATTCTGATAAAGATGAAGATCATTCTGTTGAGGTAATTAGCTTGAACATGTTAATAATATATGATTACAATAAATTATTATATTAAATTCTAATCATAATTCTTTTTATTACATAGGCATATGAATCAAAAATATCTAAAATGCTTAATAGTTTTGAGAGAATGAAGGAAAAGCTGAATTCAAAACTCAATGATGCGATAACAAAGTTCCCTGAAAAGGAAAGTTTTAGGATTTTCAAAGAAAAGATGACAAATATAATTGTTGAAGAAAAAACTGAAAGCACAACACTTTTTGAATTTCCAAGTAATGAAACTGGAGTTGAAGGAATCAATTTGACACCAATAATGGGTCAGAAAACAAATGATCAAACAGAAAATGAAGATAAAAAGGGAAATAGTGAAGAAGACAATGATAATGATGAAAGTCAACCAGAAGTAGATTATTTGCTTGATTCAAATGAAGCAGACAATGAAGGAAAAAAGAATGATGGATATAAGAATCAAAAAGAAGGTGAAACTGAAGTAAAAGAGAAAGATGGAAAGAACAATGAAAATGACAATGATGAAGAGAAAAAAGATGATGATGCTGAACAAACAAATAATCATGAAGAGACTATTCAACATGTTAGTCTATATATTATTAGCCCACTTGTTTATGGGCCCTTTAGTATTTAGCCCATTAGGGTTTCTGTCTAGCTAGTATTTATACCCGCTTTATTCTTTGTAGTCTTTATGCTTTTCTTTGAGAACCATTGTATTTTCTCTTTATCATAATCATATGGCAATGTTGTCATGGTATCAGAGCGGAGGTTCGATACGTTGTTAGAAGTCTTTGTAGCAGTCATCTGTGGCGCGGATCGAACTGTTGATTCGTTGATGTGTTGATTCATTGCTGCTGTTGATTCGTTGATGCTGTTGATTCGTTGCTGCTGTTGATTCGTTATTGTTGTTGATTCGTTATCTGATTGATTGCTTCCGCTGGTTTGTTACTCCTTTCATTCTCAGATTGTTATATTGTCATTGTGGTTATTTATTCATTGTCAACATGACTGGAAAGGATGATTCCCTTCAGTCAATCAGTACTAGTCTGGATGGAAAGAATTATACGTATTGGAGTTACGTTATGAAGAACTTCCTTCGTGGGAAGAATATGCGGGCCTATGTCACTGGGACTAAAGCCAAACCCTCAGTGCCTCAAACTGAGAATTATGATTTGTTTCTTGATGCTTGGGAGACCGATAACTCCAAGGTCATTACTTGGATTAGTAACTCTGTTAATCAATCTATTGGTATGCAGTTGGCTAAATATGACACATCAAAAGAAGTTTGGAATCACTTGGAGAGACTGTATACTCAGTCCAACTTTGCTAAACAATACCAGTTAGAATATGATATTCGTGCCCTTCAACAGAATGACCACAATATTCAATACCTCTATGCTGTTATGTCTGATCTGTGGGATCAATTGGCTCTTACTGAATCTAAAAAGTTAAAAGATTTTGAGCCTTGCATTTCTAGGAGGGAAGAACAACGCTTGGTCCAGTTCTTGATGGCCTTGCGTTCTGATTTTGAAGGCCTACGTGGAACCATTCTTCATCGCTTTCCTCTTCCCTCAGTGGATTCTGTTGTTCATGAGTTAATTGCAGAAGAGACTCGTATCAAGTCTCATGCGGATAAAGGATTTAAAGCAACCTCTATTCCTACTCCCGAACCTGATGTGCTTGCTCTTTCCTCCAACCAGTCTCGACAAACTTTAAGGGTTGCTTATGATGAGTGTGCATTCTGCAAACAGAAAAATCATTGGAAAGCTCAATGTCCATTGTTAGTTAACAAGGGTAAATCTGGTCAACCTCAGTCAGGGCAACAAAATAGGTATGGTCAACAGAAGTTTCAGTCGCGTTCCTCTGGTACTCCTCCATGGACCCCTCATCCTCCATAGTTTGCTGCTGCTACTGTACCACCAGTTGACACATAATCTGTTTGCTACTGCTACTGTACCACCAGTTGACACAGTTTGCTGCTACTATTGAGTCTTTGAAGCATGATCTAGATCATCGATTTGCTATGAAGGATTTGGGCTTGCTGCTTTATTTCTTGGGTATTGAGGTTGCTCAGTCTAAGAAATGGTACCTTCTTTCCCAGACTATATATATATATATATATATATATATATATATATATATATATATATATATATATAATATATATATATATATATATATATATATATATCTGACTTGTTTACACGGGCGGGCCTCTCTGAAAATCGGACTGTTAATACTCCTCTTGAAACTGCACGATATTCTCCTACTGATGGTGTTCCTTTGTCCGATCTGAATCTTTATCGCACTGTTGTGGGAAGTTTGGTTTATCTCACAGTTACTCGTCCAGATATTGCTCATGCTGTTCATGTTGTCAGTCGGTTTGTTACTGCTCCTACCTCTGTTCATTGGGGAGATGTTCTTCGTATTCTGAGATATCTTCATGGCACTCAGTTTCAGACTCTCTTGTTTCCCTCGACGTCTTCTCTTGAGTTACGTGTCTATAGTGATGCTGATTGGGATGATGATCGTCATGATCGTAAGTCCACCACTGGATTTTGTGTATTTCTTGGAGAGTCTCTCATTTCATGGAAGAGCAAGAAACAGGACTTTGTCTCTAGATCTTCCACGGAGGATGAATATCGTGCTATGGGTGTAAGTACATGTGAGATTATTTGGTTACGGTGGCTGCTTCCGGATATGGGAGTTTACATTTTCTTCAGCTACTCCCTTGAATTGTGATAACAAAATTGCAATACAAATTGCGAAGAATTCTGTTTTTCATGAGCGGACGAAGCACATTGAGATTGATTATCATTTTACTCGTCATCACCTGCAGCTCGGGACCATTTCGCTTCCATTTGTTTCATCAACCTTGCAGCTTGCGGATATTTTTATGAAGGCTTTATCGGCTTCTCGATTTCGGTTCTTATGTGACAAACTCTCAATGCTAATTACTGCGGCATTGTGAGTTTGAGGGGGAATGTTAGTCTATATATTATTAGGCCACTTGTTTATGGGCCCTTTAATCTTTAGCGCATTAGGGTTTCTGTCTAGCTAGTATTTATATCCGCTTTATTCTTTGTAGTCTTTATGCTTTTCTTTGAGAACCCTGGTATTTTCTCTTTATCATAATCATATGACAATGTTATCAGAACAAACTGAAAATGAAAATTTGTTGGATAAAGTTGTTGACAACATTGTGGATACTGTCGTTGGAATTGGATTTTCAAGTTTAAATAGTCAAGAAGATGAAATCTGGAATGACCCTGAAATGAAAACTATTTTGGATAATATTGATATAGGTGAATTTTGTCTTACTTTTATTTTAAAAAAATATATAAAAATATTAACACACAATAACAATTTTGTTTATTAAATTTTGACCAGGGTCACCAATGACTAGAAGTAAAACTAATACTCTGACCAGTCAAGTTATTCAAGGTATGTTACTATCAACTTATTATTTATTCACTTATTCATTAATTAATTATATTTAATATATAACATTAAATGGATCTTGCAGAAAAGGGAAAATCAGAAGGTGTACATAAACAAGGAAAAGAAGTTGAAAAAACAAAGGGAGATGATACAGGTAAATGAATGATTTAAAATATATTAAAATATTTATATTGATTTTTTAATAACATTGTTTATTCATAAGTGAATAATACACTATATAAATGAGTAAAAAATATAAAATATTCATATATGATGTATATGTTTCAGGCAAGGAAAACTCTGAACATGGAAATAAAGGAGGAGCAGAAGCTAAGAACACGAAAGATGGAGGTGCAGATAAACAAAAAGAAATTGAGAAAGGAAATGCAGAAGATAGATGTAAATAGTTGATTCACTAATAAATGAATATAATAAGTTTTATTATTCACAAATGAATAACACAATATACGAATAAATAAAAAATATAGTATTACTTATTCATAAATAATGATATGCATTACTTATTCATAAATGAATACATTACTTATTCACAAATGAATTACTTAATCAAAGTTCTTTATCTTTCACGAAAGAAAAGTCAGAAAATGAAAACAAAAAAGGAGAAAAAGCTGACAAGACAAAAGGAAATGAAGGAGGTAACAATTTGGAAAAACATTTCAAAATATAAAAAAAAACATTATAATTAACTTACAACTATTTATATGATAAATCTCTTGGAATGCAGATACTCATCCAAGCTTTAGTCTAGGTCTCAGTCAAGATTCAGATCAAACTTCAAGTAAAAAATCTAATGAATCTTTACCAAAAAAAACCACTTACAAAGAAACAAATCAAAGACGACCATCAGAAGGTTGTTATCAGATTAGAAAACAAAAATGTTCTTAATCCAAATCCAATCTTTGTAGCAATTCCTACTGAAGTAGGACCATCAAAGCATGATCTGGATGAACCAAGAGAGAAGAAGCTTGTCGATGCTTTCAAATCACCTTTCAAATGCAGAATAATAGACACAAAACCTAAACTGACACATCAGGAGAGTATTGTCTGTGAGTGGTTATTCAACTTGCAAGGGAATACATCATAAGTAACTTTATTTTATAGACATTCATATATGATTATTATATAGATAATAATGTATGACATTTTGATTATATATTTTCAGAGATGTGGTTGTCCAGACAAAATATAGTCAGATAACAGAAAGAGCAATTATGGAAAGTCTATATGCAAGCACAAAGATTTTTGGAGAAGTTTTAGACACTTGGGCTGATTTACTTAACCACCAAAAGCTGGGAAGGGATTTTGGAAATTCACCATACAGACTCTTCTTGAAAGTTGCAGTTTCTATAAGTTTATATTCTAACCTTAATTTCTTCTTTATGATAAATGAATACACCAATATGATGTATTCATTTATGAATATTATATTTTTTTACAACTGAAATTCACATATGATTATACCAATATGATGTATTCTTTAATATAATTATGTATATTCAACTGAAATTCACATATGATTATGTATTCATCTTTGAATAAAAAAATCAAAAATAAATATCTTTAGTATATACATATGATTATTATACCAACATGATGTATTCATTTATGATTAACAATTTACTAATCCTTTAAAATTATATTGGTTACAGACTGCTTATCTAACTTCAACATTGTCTGATGAAAGAAAGTATGAAAATTTCAAGGAGAACTTTCATGACAGTACCGATGGGTACAAAAAAATCTTGAACATAAAAGATATTGACATGGTATGTTAATTAAACTTGTTTATATATATATATATATATATATATATATATATATATATATATATATATATTATCAACAAAATACTTACCATTATATACATAAAAACAGGTATTCTTTCCAGTTGTTAGAAGTGCTTACATTTTTGTGATTGTCTTCAACTTAAAGAAACCATCAATTGAAATTCTGGACAACAGTGCAGTTGAAGGGGATTATGAAGGGAAATACGGAGTACCATTGAAACCTTTTGTATGTAACCAATTCACAACAACATAAAAGAACCAATTTATTACATATCTAACTTTTATTTTATTTAATGATCAGAAAAATTTGTTTGTGAGATACTTTAAAGAAATAAACCATCCAAGAGCAAATGCAATCTCAATAGAAAGTATCACACCCCAACGACTTGAAATGCCATGGGGAACAGTTAAAAACAAAGTTGATTGTGGGGTCTTTGCAATGAGACATATGGAGACCTATATGGGACAACTACTCTCAAAGTGGAAACCAGGTCTTCATAAAGAAAGTGCAATTCAACAAATTACTTTAGAGAAGC